TATCTAATGTTTATTTCTTTGTATGTAGTTATTTACGCGCTCTTTGCCATATGCAAAAATACTCCAAACACAGTAAACACTGAATACATTAATCCCCTTGGGAGATATTATCTACCATTTTATTTATACAGTTACAAGTTGGATTTATTCTACATTTGACAAAGTTGCCATAACGTAAAAAACAGTGTTGCCATAGTAGTAGTAATGTAGGCAAACAGCGCGTAAAATTAACCTGTTTCTTTTTCATTTTATTTTGAAGAAATTAATAACCTAAATAAGGTAAGTCGTGTTTTTGCTCTTAATATTATTTAACATGAATGTCGTGCAGTGGAATGCTTTGTTTCGTTTCTTTTTCTGTAGCAAAGTTTTTTTATAATGTTTTTTTTATTATAATTATTTATATTTGTTTTTCAAGCAGTTCGGGCACCTGATGGGATTACGGTTCGCTTAATGCCAGGACGGCGGAGTAAGTATTTAATAATTACCAAAAGAATTCTCAATAACTATTGAAAAAAGATTTATAAGTAATTTAAAAAAACACAAATTTTTAAGTCACATTTTTCTCTGTTTCCAGAAATAACACGCTCTTGGGTCTTATGAGATGCGGTCGGGGTTCGAATAGTCGTACGTATTGAGGCTTGATCGCGTTGAACCCCAATTTATTCAATTTCTTCCACATCATTCAATCGTTCATTCAGTACACGCCTTCAGATCTTGATACTTGAATTGTCATCTGCAGGTGTGGTTTCACTAGAGTTTAACGCGATCTACCCTTAAGTGCAGTAGTACAAATCCTATCTGTGATATTCGCATTTGGTAATTAGAAAGTCTGATTTTTACTTTTATAGTTTAAAAAAAACTATGTAATTTTTATTTTTTTATTTTAACACATTCCAAAGACCCAGTAATTCGATCACGTTGTTATGTTCTTTCCTGTTCTCATTGAGTGCTCTGTTGTACCAAATGCGGATAACTAGAAAAGTTATTTACATTTTAACACTGCTGCACTTAAGGCGGATAAGGAAGGTATTAACTTTAAATTTATAAGAAAATTTGTAAAAAAGATGTGTCGTTCTTAACAAATATCAAGATGAATAAGTGCAGTATATCTGTACTTTCACTGCAATGTAATAAGAGCTATCTGGACACAAACTATAAATGTATTATTTTAGGAGATAATCTTGCCTTCATTGGAAAGATGTAAAGGAATTTATACTCAATAACAGTAATCGTTGAATTCAAATTCCTGTGATTTAAATAAACAATTCTTAGTCCCACTAAACACATCGCATTTATGGCTACCCGCAAATGTGATTTCTGTCAGCTACATTTCTTAAGGTCAGTTCAAAAATATTCCTTATATGTATTGTTTTGTGAGTTATTATTGATGGAATTAGTACTCTCAGTATTATTTTGAAGCTTATCACAATCCCTTGGTTCCAGACAAGTTTTGCAAGACAATTCACTAATGGCCGAAATTTGGATCGTATCTGCCAAAAAACGATCTTATGCCACTGATTGTAGATTAAAATTTGTGATTAATTTTGACTCCAAGTAAATAAAAGCTTACTACAGAATGAAGATTGATATTGAAAGTCTAATTTCTGATTAAAATACTTATACTGAATTGCTAATCTAGTCGAAATTTTTATTTTGCTTGCGTATATAATTGTTATTAAAATTAAAAATGTGCCATAAAAACGTCTTGTTACTTATTGGAATGGAGAGTAGATATACGAATAGGAACATACAGAATGTATTTAAAAAGTTTCCATAATTTTAGCAAATTGGTAGAGAACAAAAGGTCCAAAAAAAAATCAGGAGATTTCACCAGTAAAAATAAATTATTTGAACCATTCAAAAACTAAATAAAGATATAAGAAATACTTAATTAATTTCAAATACCTACTTACTTTTTAATAGCCACAATTAATAATCGGTATAAATCGAAACTTTATTCAAAATCAACTTTAATCCAAAGGTTTTAAATTGAAATCGTTGAGTAATTTCAGCTGTTACATTTGTAAGAGCCAATGTAAGAGATGTAAGCACCTTTGTTATCTGACGCTAACAAATTATGACGTTGCAATAGAATTATGTAGGTAGGTAATGCCAATTATTACAGTTAATAGAAAAGAAAATTCTAATTGGAAAGTAAGCCTTTGCTGTTCATTCATATAATTCAATTATTCAGACACCAACAGTAGGTACCTTGAAAACATTTCAGTAGCTGGTAGATACCTGCTCTGCCCATCGTGTCAAATGGACATTTTGTACGCAAAAACAACTTTCAAAGATCTTTTGATTTGTTGCTTATTCAAATTTTAAATAGTAATTTCATCTAGCTACTTTCGCTTTTGTGAAATAATTCCCCATGAAATGAGAACACGTAAAAGTCTACTTTGTTCACCCCTGGGTTGTTTCACCCGGGTAAACGAAGTGGAAAAACCACAAATAGGTACAATCGGCTATTGACAATAGAATCTTCAGTAAAAACTCCAGTAAAAACTCCAGAATTTAGTATGGTGTGCATGCTAAAGAGTAATAAAGTCCGACCGCTCGCTTTTATACACATTTTCGCTTGTAACACGAGGACAAGCGAAATAGGTCATAAATGTTAAGTCGATGCGGTATCTTGGGTCATACCATGGCACTAAACACGTATCTATATAAATTCTTAAGGCCGAGTAGAGAGGCATAAAATTATCCCCCAGCACCAGCCAGAGAAAAAAAATGTATTCATCTGCAATTTTTAAGATAAATGAATTATTTTCGTACTTATAATTAATATCTCATGTTGTTAAAGTATTCTAAAAGAAATTCTGACTCTCCTCACAGGCTATTCATTATTATTAATAGCTGTTCATGCTAATAGAAACTTATCAGAGGTTACTTTATAAACGACCGCCGCCCTGTGGAAACATGCAACTATATCATTTCGAAGCTTTTATTTGCAGAGCATACAAAACTAGCCGTTGATAGTCGACGATCATTTAACCGCGGCACCCACGTAACTCCCGCTCGCGCCTAAACCGAAATTTGTAAAAGCCGTTCGTTGCAAGACATTCATAACTGTACCAAAAGTTAAAAATGCTTTCACCTTTCTCAATTTAAAGTGCTACTGGTACACCCTCTGGTGTGTCGACTAAAGTTTGACTAAATTCTGGATTAAAATCTACTAAATAAAAGTACTGAGGAACTTTCGTGTCTCCAAAAAGAGAAAAGCGACAACTGCTTTATATTATTTGCTACTGTTAATGTTACTTTATATTTGAGGGGAAAAAGTGCCTACAACAATCTAAAAAGCAATAAGTACTCAACGAATCAAAATACAAAATTGCTGTTTCTCAATTAGATTACGGTAGTTTCCAACTAGTCAAATTCAATACTTTTATCCAAATGTCAAAAACTATAATTTTCTATGATTTTTGTATGAAACTTCAAATTATGACGTCATAGTATTTATGAATCAAATAGCTTAAGTTATATCTTATATCTCTTTCAAAAAATTTGTGTATCAATAGATCGATGTTCAAAAGTATATTAACAATTCAATATTTTATTGTATTGAAACGTCGAATTAATTTACCAAAAATTTAATTTAACCCAGGAAACTACCCAAATAAAGGTTTTGTCAAAGTATTTTGGCATACATATTTGGCAGAAATTTCGAACCAATTCTTTAAATTAATTGGTAACTTGACAAATAGTTGCCAGTGCAAGGGAAAATTATATTATTATTTCCTATGCATTATGAAATAAAATGGTCAAAACAGATTGTAATTTTTTAAACACCCTGAATGTAGCTCTACTTTGACTTATGTTTATGTGGACATTTATATAAAGTTGTAATTTCGAATTAATGAAACAATCACTGTGATTTCTAGTCGAAACTCCGAACTTTTCATTATATTGTGTATGTATTAAGCAATAAGCATTTCTTTCTGTATAAAAATAAACTTGTGCTCATTTTAATTAATGTACATAATTATATGTATGACAATGATATCATATTTTTTATCTGATGTAAGTTGCAAGAAATGTGTGCAAGTAGAAATGTAAGTTTAGGGAGTAAAATACTTCATCAGAATATCAGAGTTGTGTAAAAAAAATTGTATTTAAAGTATGTAATATCAGACTGTAAGTTATGACTGCCCATTGTATGCATACTACCTATAAGATTTGTAACACCTGAATAATCAAAGAATTTCAAGAAAAATATATGTAACTGCTTTAGGCTAAGATTCTAATATAATGTGTAATGTGTACAATGCAGCTAAAATAATCAAAATCAGTACCTATATTACATACACTCAAAAAGATTTTATATTCTAATTTCAAAATTACACCTTATCTGTTTGTCTGGAATTCAGCAAAACATAAATTACTGGTTTGATTTTTATTGTAACATTAAATATATCTAGTAGTTTTAAAAAAACCATAAATAATACATAACTACTTGCACATAAAGGTTTGCGGATAAAATAAAAAAGTATTTAGAGCTTTTTATAGTATATTTACTTAAATGTAAAATATCTATGATTTAATATACATATGATACATAATATTTAATCGGCACATTTATCAAAATAAACTTGTTATTGAAAATTGTTTACTTTATTTGTTTTACTTTTAGAAATGTTTGGCAGTGTCTGTTACTAAATCTAGGTTAATTCATGCAACACTAAATTCACATAACTTATGAAACCAGCTCAAAGAACAAAAGAAAAACAATTTTAATTTAGATTCCCATGTCTATGGGTGAAAAAATTACACATATTATATGTATAATAAAACTTTCTTCCTTCAGCTACACATTCTAAAAACATTTAATTTTTTTTTATTATGTGTAACTACAATCAGTTTTAGTTACTTAAAACCTTGAAACATTCTGTGCCTCTCTACGTATTTATCCATTCGATATAATTATTAAAAAAAAAAAATTAGGAACTAACTACAACTAGATAGACACAATGACACAACCTACCTATATGAACAGTACATCTATTCCTTTACTCTTAATAACATGAACACAATACGGTAGTTTCCAACTAGTCAAATTCAATACTTTTAACCAAACGTCAAAACGATACTTTTCTATGAAATTTGTATGAAAAACTGAGCTATGATGTCATAATATTTTTGCGTCAAAAAGCTTACTTATTTCACAATAATTAGCTAAAAAAAATTTAAAAACTTGGTGTATCAATCGATTGATGAATAAAGGTGTAGTTATTTTTCAATATTTTACTGTAATAAAACATCGAATTAATTTATTTTTGACCTAGAAAACTACCCAATTATCTCTCATTTCAGCAAGGGAGAATACTTCTGTGCTTATCCTAAAGAAATATCAGATTATGAAGAACAACTGCAAACATCAGGGCAAAAAATTGCCTACCTACAAGTTCATCTTAGTAAATTAGATGAGTGTGTGTGTGTGTGTGTATATATTAAAATACATGCCTAGTCACTTATGTACACCAGCAGTGTATGTAAAGTTGACAATTATTACAATTATATGGCAGTACCACGCTCCAAGTTCTGTTTAATTTCAGCTGTATGCTCTCCATAAAATCTCTCCAGTTTCTTGTTGAACTTGGCATTTCTTTCATTGATGTAGTCAATATCTGCATCGTCATTGTGTGTGCGTCTTCTAGAGTAGCGAGCTCTCTTGGCAATCTGCCCTTCCAGGTCATCCACCATCTTATCAACAGCTTCTCTTCGATCCTCATGCATTCCATGAATGATTACATTAGGCCCACCATAGAAAGCATCGCCATACTTCTGTTTCTGTTTCTCATATTGTTCCATGTCAGCTGAAGGCATGTTTTTAACCAGTCTGTTGTATTGCCTTACTGTAGCTTGTTCATATGTGGAGAATCCTTCATCAGGATTCTTCTTCTTCTTTTTACGTTCAAGTCGCTCAGCCTCTACTGCTGATATGTTCAATAGTTTCACTCTGTCGTAATCTTTCCCTGCTTTCTCTGCCTCTTGACGCTTTGCTTGGTCGTCGAGCAGCCATTCAGCTTGTCGTCGCTTCGCTTCGTAGTTGGGCGGTAGCTTATTCCTTGCCTCCTCAGCGACCACTTCTTGATGGTTGTGTGTCCTTGCTTCGTTTCTAGCAGTATGCAGTGATCGCAGCCTTTTCATGCGTTCCGCTTGTTTCTCAGCAAACGACAGCTCTTTGGGAGCTGTTGTTGGTTCTTCTGGTTGGGCACTCATGGTTGTGTTACAAAATCAGACACCAATGTTTATATTCTATTCGAACTAAATTCGTCTGCGAAACATTCCTACTGATGATGATGATACGAACAATAAAAACACGGAACACCACATAGAAAGTTCACACAATTGACGTCTGACACTGACTGACATTGTGTTGACAGTAGCGGAAAACGCACAGTAAATCTATGGGAAAACGACATTATTTTGAGTGTGACCAATTTTTGTAATTCTTAAAGAAGTTTTACGATGTTGTAAAAGTAATATCACAAAAAAATAAGTAGATATTTTCAAAAGTTAAGTGCAGCTACTGGTACGAATGGCAGGTACTAAGAATATATTTATTACGGCTTTTATTTTTCCCATGTAATCCTAAAGGAAACTTATCGAACTCCTACCCCATTCTCCTCCTAATTTACAGTTACCTGAATGAGGTATGTCGGGTTCATTTCCACGTTGAGTACTAACAGTGAAAATTGTCTCTTTTTTGAAGTATTTATATTCACAGTACCCAAGTTTGGACTTTGTAATGATTATGCCCGGTTTATTGCAATAGACTTTCTAGCTTACCTTCTATCTATACTAATATTATAAAGCTGGAAAGTTTGTTTAAACGTGCTAATCGCCGGAACTATTGATTCAAATTGAATAATTCTTTTTGTGTATGTCAGTCTTCTTCTAGTATTATATATTCTCACTTCTACATATATCTCTCTATCTTATAGTATTATAATATAAAATATGACCATCGGACTTGATGAGTCAGCAGAATGTTAGGGTACCTAAAAGGCAACTTGCATGACACTTACACAATAAAACGTTGGGCGTTGCCTTGTTTTTAAAATTTAAATTGAATTGATGAGGTTTTAAGTATTAAGTGTAAGTGTCTATTAGTTATAATAAATTTGATAAGATTATGGTACAGAACATTTTATTTACTCAATTTTAACAAACGACTATTTAAAATAATAATTATTAATCTTTTATAAAATTTCATATTTTATTAGCTTGCGCCCACGTGGAATGTTGATAAAAAGTACCTTATGTATAGGACATAAGGTACTTACGGAGTGTATCCTATCCCTATGTGATTGAGTAACAAACATCCAAACATCGTAATTTTCGCATTTATAATATTGGTAAGCTTAGTAAGATAAGATTTGCTACCTACTACATATGATTCTCTTCGACTATAAAGTTACTCAACATGAGTACCTAAATGTTAGTAAGTAGGTTACCATTTAATTGAAATAAAATAAGTAATTTGAACTTTTACATAACATTTATTAAACGTAAAATGTGTTTTGACATACAAAAAAGAAGATACCTAATTAATACAAATCACTTTTACTTTTATAATAAAAATAGGTGCAAACATTATTTGTAACTTTAATGAGCTTAAAATAATTAACCATTGTTACAAACCCCGTGTCGTGTGGAGTCCCATTGGGACTTGAAAATGATAGAGCTCTTCTCAGATTATTCACGTTACTATTCAAAAATAACTCTACAATGTTTATTTTCGTCGCTTTTGTATTTAGCTGCAGCTAACAGCAATTAAATTGCTGTACCACGCTCTAAATTTTGTTTAATTTCAGCTGTATGCTCCCCATAAAATCTCTCCAATTTCTTGTTGAACTTGGCATTTCTGTCATTGATATAGTCAACATCTGCGTCATCATTGTACCCGCGTCTTCTAGAGAAGCGAGCTCTTTTAGCAATCTGTCCTTCTAAGTCTTCAACCATCTTGTCAACAGCTTCTTTCCGGTCCTTATGCATCCCATGAATGATAACATTAGGTCCACCATAGAAAGCATCACCATACTTCTGTTTCTGTTTCTCATATTGTTCCATGTCAGCTGTAGGCATGTTTTTAACCAGTCTGTTGTATTGCCTTACTGTAGCTTGTTCATATGTGGAGAATCCTTCATCAGGATTCTTCTTCTTCTTTTTACGTTCAAGTCGCTCAGCCTCAACTGCTGATATATTCAATAGTTTCACTCTGTCGTAATCTTTTCCTGCTTTCTCTGCTTCTTGACGCTTCGCTTGGTCGTCGAGCAGCCATTCAGCTTGTCGTCGCTTCGCTTCATAGTTGGGCGGAAGCTTATTCCTTGCTTCCTCAGCAACCACTTCTTGATGATTTTGTGTCCTTGCTTCGTTTCTAGCAGTATGCAGGGATCGCAGCCTTTTCATGCGTTCCGCTTGTTTCTCAGCAAACGACAGCTCTTTGGGAGCTGTTGTTGGTTCTTCTGGTTGGGCACTCATGGTTGTGTTATTTTACAGACCTTTAGCGGCAGAACGAGAACTGAACACACAATTTTGCTACACTAAAATTGTAGGGCAGACTTCCAGTTGATACTATGAGACACAATAAAAGTTTGAAAAACTTTTCGACTGCTCGACACACGTCGTCACAGGCTGACGAGCAGTAAGACACTGGCACTGCCGAGCGACCAACCCTTGCACATTGCATTGTCGTCGCTCGCTGCTTGTCGGTGACTCATCCGAAGGCTGTTTATGGTTTCTTTGTTCTAGGAATTCTGCTTTGTTATTTGTTTGTGAAAAAGGTAAAATTAATGGGCAACTATTGAAAGTGGTATTTTTGTTTAATTTGGCGACTTCACCTATCTTCACTCTCTACCGTTTGTTATAGAAAATACTAAACTTATCTTACTTGTTATTAAAAATTTCGCCATGACTTAAGATTTTAGTTCGAGCTGAGCTTTCTATTACAATTAATAGCAGAATGTCGGTTCTTATAACAGCTTGGAGTTGTCATGCTCACTGAAAGGTCACACTGGCGGTGGCATGGGCGCTGGATCGCTTAATTCCCTATAATATGGTTGAGTTGGGCGATGCTGGTGTACGTGTCGTGCTCGTGAACGAGCGCCGTCAGTTGGGACTGGTCAGCTCCAGACTGTCTATTGTCCTTAAGGTTACTTTATTTTTATATTTGAATAAATATTAGTGTTACACTGTTCTCACATAATTGAACCAACTGTTTGTAAAAGGAATCTGTATGTGAAACTGATTTAAAAAGAGTAACCATGGAGTTTCTTGCTCGTTCTTCTCCATCGGAATCTACACTTTGGAACGAGCAAATAGCTTCACTAAGAAGACTGACCGACAGACTGACACTATTTTTTATTTTAAATTTTGTTTGACGTTCAAAAGTGCCTGTAAAGGTGGAATAAATGATTTTTGACTTTTTGACTTTAATTATCGGCTTCTGTTGTATGTCTCCCTCCCACCTAAGCCATTCGACTGCTACGATACGTCGTAACATCGTAGACGCAGCATTGCAATTTCTAAAACGTGAAAATTATTTTTGAGCGCAATTGATCTCAAAATTTTTGCAAAAGGGTACCGTAAATATAGTTTTAATAGAGTTTTGAACAACAACTTTAATTTAACAACAACTCTAAAATTAACAATTTAATAATTAAAGTTGTTAGTAAGGGCCTCGAGTCTGCTATTACAATAGTGACAGAATAGTAGATCATTGATTTCAAAATTGTTGATTTTGATAAGTTTTGGTAATCTACTAACACGATAGCGTCATTATGACTTTCCAGTGCATTGAAATAATTCTTTAGAACGGTAATCTCGTACATAATGACAAATGAATATTTCACATAATGCGGTAAATAAAATTAATATAAAAAATCTGTTCCTTTATTCAATGATTTACGTTTAGAATATTAATGTGCAGTTATTGTTTATAATTCGTTACAAGACATCTCGTACTATAATTCTATTACGACATCGCCGAACGCCAATGAGCAGCCATTTTGAATTAACAGATTACGAACTTGTAGCAAAATGACAATGGAATCGTGTAGGAATGACAACACTTTGAAAGTAGTAGACTCGGGCCCCCAGTACTAATACATTACATTTTCGTAAAGGCATGCAATAAAAAATATATTTTATTTTGCAATGAAACAAGTACGCCGATGTTTTACCTTTAAATATATCATAATGTCCTCACGTTTCTTTATAAGCTTGTCTGGAATACCTGGTATAGATATTCGTAAATTAGTGACAAGATTTCCCATTGTTCTTGTTGTGTACAAAAAAAATAGTTCATTATTTGTCTTTGTAATTTGTCAATGGTGAACAATAATGAATGTGTAACAGACAAAAGTAAAAAGAATGACCATTTATTTAATTATTATTGTTCTAAGAATGACAACATTGTAAATAGATGCTTAACTCTTTTAATATTCTATTTAAATGTTTTAAAAAGCGTCTCGTGGTTATTTTTCATAGACTTTGAATCTTATGGTATTTTAAAAATAAAGTTGAATATCTAAAAACCGTCTATTCCAGTGAAATAAACGTTACGTGGTCGTCGTGGTGGCCCAGAGGTTAAAGCGCCCGCTTCTCATGCATGAGGGTGTGTGTTCGAAACCTTGCAGGTACTAATGTGACTTTTTCGAGTTGTATGTACTTTGTATGATTATTTAGACACCACTGACATACGGTGAAGGTAAACATCGTGAGGAAACCTGGACTTAGGACATCATAGGCTGATGATGATGATGATGACGATATCAATTTATTGAAAATAATGACTAAGGTACTCACGTGTCTTAAGTGAGAAGAGCTCTACAAGTTTGAAGTCACCTCGGGGCTCTTCTTAATGAGCAGCGAGCGCATCGTGGCGACGTCATTTTCTCAGTAATTTCACGTGGTTAAATCGTTATTTTTAATAATAGTTACTATTCAAAATCTTTTGTCAATATTGACAACCAAATAATTTAATACATAATTTTATGCAAACTCTCGGGGGGTTTTTAATAGTTACCTATTACCTAATTTAAGGCCATTAGACCTATGTAGCTAATGAATTGATCCTAAAGATTTAATTGATATCGATCAAAATCGGTCTTAGCCATTTGCCAAATATAAAAATCATTATTCAAATTACTATCAATTATTTAAGTACGACTACCTCTACAGAGGTGCATAGTTAGAAATGTATTCGTTCTTATTATGAAAAGAACTTATTTTGATAAAGACTACCGATAAACAGAAGCTAATAGTTCAATCAAATTAGTTCTTAATTACCTTCAAAATTCGTGTTAAGTTGATAAGAAAGCGTTGATTCATAAACTTCTAAATAAATAAGACCGTTTAACAGCATTAAATGAACATAGCTACCAATCCAATTAAAAAAAGTTCAAGATATAGCGACCGCGGACTGTTTACAATAATCACTATCAGCAAGGGATATAGGCCCGTTAGTTTTTAATTTTGGAATTATTATTATTATACATGCCAAGTAAGAAATAACAAATCTGGATACTAATAGCATCAATAAGCAATAGTCCTACACTAACTGGGGCCTGTTCTCAGGTTTATTTCCACAGAACATACAGGGATAGTCGCCTGTTTGTGTCCTATTTCATTTAGACCAAACTTGTCTAAAGGGCCTCTGCGTAGTTAGCTCCGGACTGTGGCTCCGGCCCCTCGTACGCGTTCCAAATGGCCGGGACCCTGTGGTCCCTTGATTGGTAAATGCACTGAGCACCTTGACGAGTGAAAAACTGGATGCCGTGCAATTTGATGTAAATATTATATTTTTGTAAGTACAAATAGTATGTATATTTTAATACCTTCGAACATCTTTTTGGACACCAGTTGAAGTACTTACCTGCCTATCCTACTTTAATCCTTTATTGTGTCCACATTAACCAAAGTTCAACGAATTACCAACAAAGATAATTACATATTTTTAATACAATAGTAACAATGGGCCTTATCACTTACCTACAGGGATCTTTTCCGCGAAACATTAGGAAGGTTCGTGGAAACATTGTGCATAAATTGTATACCTTTCTTTTATAATGGAACCACGACTTCTTATCTATCAATGAATGGGTAACCTACCACTCCTACCAGGAATTACATATGAATAATAATAATTAGAGAAAAGTCATTTGATGATATTCGGGGGAATATAAAAAGTAAGTTAACACAATATGAATTATTCCTAATCCAGTCTTGACTACTAATGTTAACGTTTTTACAAAGATATCTTTTCGGGAGTAAAGTTATAGTATTTAATTTTGTTACGGCACTACATCTTCGGTGCTACGCCGCTGAGTCTACGTTGCTACGCCAACATGTCTACGATTCTACGACGCATCGTAGCAGACGTAGTCATGTGGCAGAGATGATCAGCGCTAAGATCTTCTTATCTATATATATAAAAGAAAGTCGTGTTAGTTACACCACTTATAACTCAAGAACAGCTGAACCGATTTAGCTGAAAATTGGCAGGGAGGTAGTTTAGAGTCAGGAGAAGGACATAGGATAGGATAGAGTAGGTAGAGTGGGGTAGGTAGAGTGGGGTAGGTAGAGTGGGGTAGGTAGAGTAGGGTAGGTAGAGTAGGTTAGGTAGAGTAGGTAGAGTAGGGTAGGTAGTGTAGGGTACATAGAGTAGGGTAGATAGAGTAGGGTAGATAGAGTAGAGTAGGTAATGTAGGGTAGGTAGGGTAGGTAGAGCAGGTAGGGTAGGTAGGGTAGGTAGAGTAGGGTAGGAGGGTAGGTAGAGTAGGGTAGGTAGAGTAGGGTAGGTAGACTAGGGTAGGTAGAGTAGGGCAGGTAGAGTTGGGTAGGTACTCAAATGACGGGAGCGACGCCGCGGGGAATAGCTAGTTAAATATATTTATGACAATTGTACTTTTTTGGGTTAAAATTGAAAGCTGTTTATTTTGTTTAAAATCATATTAATATTATAAAGACATAGTTCTAATCTACAAAGCAAAGGTTGGCGAAGCCGCCAAAATAAAACAATTGTTGTCCTTAAGCTCACGCTATTCACACACACTTGTAACAAAGGATGTAAAACAATTACAAGAACAAAGACATCACAAGCAGTTCCCGGAAGAGTCGCCGACAAGCAGCGAGCGCCGACAATGCAATGTGTAAGGGTTGGTCGCTCGGCAGTGCCAGTGTCTTACTGATCGCCAGCCTGTGACGACGTGTGTCAAGGTGCTTTATTGCGGCCAACTGTCTGCATAAACTGCGCAAGGAAAAGTGGAAAGTCCCTCATACTATATTAGTATAACAAGACTGTGTGTTGACCTTTGTTCAATTGCAAAAGCTCTGTAACATAACACAACTATGAGTGCCCAAACAGAAGAATCAACAAGGCCCAAAAAGCTGTCGTTTTTTGAGCAACAAGCGGAACGTATGGCAAGGATACAATCTCTGCAAATTGCTAGAATTGAACCAATAACTCACAACCATCAAGG